TGATCGTTTGCCTATCCCTTATCTTAGGAAGTATGTGTAATAGGTTAGAGAGGTGCTTCCCTTTATAAAGGCCCTCTCCTGTCACCTTCCTTCTCTTTGTACTTGGCTACATTTAATGAATTGGAGCTATGCTCCTTACATAAAAAAATATATATATATATATATATAATGGTGGTGGCGGTGCTGTTAGCTTAACTAGAGTTTCCCTCGTGGAGCTTCTTTTCTGTTGGCTGGTAAGTTGGAAGTGGAGTAGTTCTTGTTCTTTGGGAGCTTGTTTAGAGCCTCTTTTGCTTTGGGTTCCCTGGTTGTTGTGTTTTGTGGTTTTCCAGGGGTTGGGAGTTTTTGAATTTAGAAGCATTGTTCCATTTAGTTTTTGTGGCTTCTACTTCATGGTTGTGTGTTTACACCTCTTTGTTGTTCCTATTGCTACCCACTTTTTCTTCTAGGTGGTGTTTGCTTCTTTGGTTTTGGCTGCTGTGATTTTTGCTCTTAGTTTTTTTTAGAAGGTGGAAGAAGCTTTTTGATTTTAGATCTTTTGTTTCGCCTCCAATGGCTTCACCAATAGATATTGAAACTAATGCTCAGTAGACTAAGGCCACCTATACAGGGGTAGTTGGTCAATCTACTAATATTCTTCAGGACCCAGATATGTTAGTTTTCCCACAAGCTTCTCATGATACTGTTGCTGGGAGACAACCCATGTATTCATCCTTTAGGAACTAAAGTAGGAGAACCAACTATTTTATTCTCACAATAAGAGATTATCTCACTGAATAAAAAAATGAAGTTTTCAATTGTTGGTATGTTTCAGTTGAGGCATCCAAAAATGGAGCTTGTAAGGAATTTTTTGAGTCTCTGAAGTTTATTGGGGCCTGGAAAATAGTTTTCTTTGTGTAGCCATTTACTCATACAACTATCAGTTAAAGAGGACTATGCTAGACTCTTTGCCAAGCAATCTCTACTAATTGTAGGAACCACCATAAAGACTATGAAATGGACACCTAACTTTGATCCCAGCAAAGCGCCCAAGCTTGTCATGATACTGTTGCTGGAAAGGGAGACAACCCATGTATTCATCCTTTAGGAACTAAAGTAGGAGAACCAGCTATTTTATTCTCACAATAAGAGATTATCTCACTGAATAAAAAAATGAAGTTTTCAATTGTTGGTAAGTTTCAGTTGAGGCATCCAAAAATGGAGCTTGTAAGGAATTTTTTGAGTCTCTGAAGTTTATTGGGGCCTGGAAAATAGTTTTCTTTGTGTAGCCATTTACTCATACAACTATCAGTTAAAGAGGACTATGCTAGACTCTTTGCCAAGCAATCTCTACTAATTTTAGGAACCACCATAAAGACTATGAAATGGACACCTAACTTTGATCCCAGCAAAGAGCCACCTGTGGTTCCCCTTTGGTTCAAATTGCCTGGTCTCCCCTTCCCATTCTTCAACTTGAATGATTTGTTTAATATTGGTTGTGCTCTTGGTAGGCCTTTAAAGGTGAATGCCCCCACATATAACAAGGCCAGACCTGCTTTGGCTAGAATTCTAATTGAAAGGGACATCACCCTTCCATAATTGAAAAGAATATGGATTGGGTCTAAGAATGAAGGTTTTTTGCAGAAAGTCATTCTTGAGCAAAGAACTTAATACTGCCAACAATTTAAAAATGTTTGGGCACACTAGGGATAGGTGTTATAGGTTGTACCCTCCCCCTAAAAGAACCCCTCTCATTAGGGAGAAAGTTACTAACAGAAGCCAGCTCTACCAACTCTTACCCCTTTGGCTATGGTACCCCACCCTGAGGAGGTTGGAGGTGTTTTATTGGACACCTCTCAAAGCTATACTATTCCTTCTGATTCCAATGTTCCCTCTTCTACCTCCCCTAGAGTTATAAGGGAAGAGTTGAATAATGTGACTATTATTACTCCTTTAACTTCTCAGAGCTCACCTAATGGTGGCAGGGAGGAAAAAAGGAATGTTTCATTGACTACTACTAATGATTTGAATGCCCCTGGGGAAGGAAGAATTTCTAAAATGAAACATTTAATGGAGGAGGATTGGAAATTATTCACATCTAAGAAGAAAAAGAAACAGGTTACTGAAGCGCAAAAACTATAAATTGGCAAGGTGATGGCTGGTTCATCTCCTCCTTCTAGAGAAAGAACTAGATCCACATCTCAACCCTCACTCAACCTTAATGATTAGCTTTTTTTGTTGGAACATAAGGGGCATTGCCCATCCTCAATCTCTAAAAAGACTTATACATCTTAATAAAAAATACAAACCATGGTTTTTTCCTTCAGTGCATTGTTATCCTTGAACCTATGGTTCATAGAAACCCTCAGAGATTCATCAATAAATTTCCTGGTTTTTCCCATTATGCTAATACTAATAATAAGATTTGGTATTTCAATAAAAAGGAGGTATAGTAGAACATTCAGGTGGATCATCCTTGGTTTAGTCATCTCTCCCTTCTTATCAATGGAAAATTGGAATATGCAACTTTTATCTATGCAGGCTGTCACAAAGAGAATAGAAAAACCCTTTGGGTTTCCCTTCAGCAGATCAGTGAGCATATGCACTCCCCTTGGCTGGTTGGGGGAGACTTTAATTACATAAACAATTCCAAGACTGCAGGCTTTGATGACTTTACTGCAGATTTTTACAAGAACTCTTGGCATATCATCAAAAAGGATGTAACTTAGGTTATTATCATTTTCTTTCAAGGCAATAACCTCCCCAACTTCTTTAGTGATTCTAATTTTGTGTTAATACCTAAAGCTGAAATGCAAAAGAATTGGGATCACTACAGGTACATCTATCTAACCTCAGTCCTCAGCAAATCTATTAGCAAGATTATCGTCAGCTGGCTCCAACCTTACTGGGATAAGCTGATAAGTCCCAGGCAAACAACTTTCATAAAGGGGAGATAAAAAATTGAACAATTTTTTGCTTGCTTAGGAATTGCTCCTAGACCTTGATAAGCATTGTATGGGAGGGAATCTGATTTACAAGCTGGATATAAAAAAAGCATATGACACTGTTAATTGGAATTTCATACTAAACATCCTTCCTGCTAGAGGGTTCCAGCCTGAGTTTTGCACCATCATACACAGATGGCTTTTGAATAATAGGCACTCCATTATCATCAATGGGTATGCCTGGGGTTCTTTTTCTGCTACCAGAGGGCTGAAACATGGTGAACCACTTTCCTCCTCAATTTTCATCCTTGCCATGGACTACCTGTCGAGAACGCTAGATATGTCACTTCTATATCAGGGGTACTCTAGGTACCATCATAAATCTAATATGGCTATCTCCCATTTATTATATGCTGATGATATTATGGTTTTTTAAAAAAGTCTTTTACTACCTTCAAACTTTCTAATCTCAATCTAGAATGTTCTTTAGCCCTACAAAGTGTTAACTTATCTTCAATAAAAGGTCCTCTCCCAACTGCAAATAGTGGATTTCTAGCTACACTGGGTTCTTCATTGCCCATTCTCAATTAGAATACTTTGGTGTGCTCCTCATCAGTGGCATGTCCAAGCAGATTCAATTTGATGATGTTCTACATAAAATTATTTCATACCTTTCTGGATTGTCTCATTCCTTCCTCTCTAATGATGGTAGAATTACCTTACTCAAAACATACTTACTACCTTTCCTTCTTAGATTCTCTAAACCACTTATATGAATAAAAGTACACAACTTAAATTGGAGAGGGCTTTTAAAAGGTTCATGTGGTCTGGTCAAAGACAACAACTTCACTGGGCTTCTTGGCAAAGGGCAGCTAAACCCACTTTGGCAGGGGGTATTAGGTTTAAAGGGCTACACGAACTCATCCAAGTCAACATCTGCAAAATGTGGATAAATTTCAAAGCTCAAACATCTTTGTGGGCTAAGTTTATGATGGGCAAGTATTGCAAAGATAAACACCCTTCTCTAATTTTTAGGAAATTTGGGGATTCTAGGATTTGGGCCAATATGCTAAAAGTGAGGACTCTTGCTGAGGAGATGTTTATTTGGGACTTGGGGACTGGAAAGCAAAAGAAAAGAAAAATACCATGGCTGGAGCATTGGTGCCAAAAGGATTGGATTTGTGCTCCTCCTACTAATTTGAATCTTAATCTTACTGTGCCTGAATTCTAAGGGGGGATCAGTGGTCTATTACTAAACTGCAAAATATTCTTCAAAAAACCTTATGTGACTCACATCTCTAAAATTTACTTTGATAGAGCAAAAATGATAGAGTTATTTGGCAAACCAACACCAATCAAAGTGTCACCAAGGATATCTATGCTAAACTCTTTAGCTAAAATCCGGTGCCTTGTGGACAGGTCATTTGGAATAAATTTCTCTCTCCCTCCATGTCCTTTTTCTGTTGGAGATTCTTCCATAATGGTCTGCCCACTAATGAAATACTTAAACTAAAGGGATTGAGGGGGCCATCTACATGTTATCTGTGCTTAGAGAGTGAGGAAAACATTAATCACATTTTCTTTAATTGAAAATTTTCTCAGGAGGTCTGGACCAAGTTCTTAGCAAAGATTAATTTGAATGATTCTGATTTATTCTGGTCCAAGTTATCTGATTTTTGGTATAGTTGGACAAGACATAAGCATGATCCCATCCCTTTTTCTGTTGCTTGGTTTCTCTGGATGTACAGGAACCACACCAAATTTGAGGACAAATCATCCCAGTATTCAAAGGTGGTCGGAAATTGTATCTATTATCTCTCCAAAATGATCTAACACAAACACTTCCCTAATATAAGCAATACATTGATCACTGAGGTGCTAGCTCCCCAGTAATCCATAAGTTTTATTGGAAACCTCCACAACCTTCTACTGTTAAAATCAACACTGATGGAAGCTTCAATGCAATGGGTGTTGGGATGGAGGGTGTTTTCAGGGATCATTCCAGTCAATGCCTTCTATTTTTCCATGCTCCTGTAAAGGCTACTGATGCACTTGCGGCAAAAGTTATTACAATTTTCTGGGCTTTAACCATTGCTTACAACTCAGAATTGTATAATATCTGGATTGTGGTGGACTTTATCGTGCTGATCAAGCTACTAGAATCTGAAGAGCAACCTTCTTGGTTCCACAACCAATGGATCCAAAAGCTCAGTACATTCATAACAAACCTCAGGGTCCACTTTACTTTCATATATAGAGAGGGTAATAAACCTGCTAATTGGCTTGCTAGACATGGTCATCACTCTATTTCAAACTTTGTCGCTACTAAACCCAACCACCTTTATCTTTCCTGCTCCATGGAGATACTCTTGAGGTGCGTTATCTTAGAATTTCTATCACTATGCTTACTGGTTCCACTGACCCCCATTCAAGGAGAGCCCAATCTTTGTTTCTTTCTCTACTGTTTTACTTTTATTTTTCTGGTTTTTTTATTTATCTACTTTTTATCCTTTTTCTTGTAACTGCTCACTGGGCCCAGCTTTACTCAACATGTAGGGAGCCATGAGATTGCTCCTTTTTGCAATATATATATAGGGAAGTCACCCGCCAATATGATGAATAATATATATATATATATATGAAATCAAACTGATCCCATATCTTTCAAAGTTTAGATGAAAGAGCACTACACCTCAAGTTTTGTATCTATCCTGAAAGATAAACACATGACTTGATAATGAGGCTCAATCAAATAAACTCAAAAATGTATGACATTTGTTTGGCCTGCGAAACAATTTTATTATAAGCTCACAAGTTCCCCTATTTAATATGAAAAATTAAATAGGGTTTATACTAAGCTAGGTTTTTGAAAGTTTCTTATAAGGGAAAGCCTCTATAGTAAATTACATCTTAGATAACTAGAGTCACCTAAGGAAACTCTCGATAAAAAGTGGGGGATATTATTTTAAAGGATCTCAATACAGTAAGAATTTTCAATGAGATCGGACAAAGATGTGTGGCATGGGAATGACTCGAATTTGGAACATATTGGATCTCACAGATCTTGAGGAGAACCTCAGTGACTTCCTATGCTATCCTATAGTTTGGTTTTAATTTAGAGGAGAAATATTTAAATGTTTCATCCTGCCAGTTTTGTTTTATTAGGGCTTACATTCATATGAAACGATCACACAAATAGCTTGGAAGATGTAAGAATTTAGGTCGTGATGAACGACAACCTCGAAATCCTAAAACACGTTAGGGCTTATATTGTATAGCAGAGACATACAAAAGCCTAAACGAAAGTTGAGGATTTACGTCACATTAGGCAGACAACCTCAAAGTCCTATGGCTTGTTGTTTGATTTTATAGAATGATTTAGTTGGAGTAGACATGTTTTGCTGTTTAAGATGGTTGTGCTACCCACAATGCTAGCTCTAAGCTCCACGTTGTGGCAAGTTTAAGTCTTCTAACATGTCAAGTCATGATGTTAAATCAAGTGTTTCCTAAGATTTGTTTATTTAAATATTATGTGGAATGTTAAAGTTGATTAGAGTGACACGGATCTTACAGTTCCCTTTTTTCAGCATCAATACTTTTCTTCAGATTCACTTAGTCCAAATGAATTTAATAACCTCAACCTAATGTGTTCCATACTTTCACTTAGACCATGGGAAATCTCTTTAGCAATCGTAGGATACCTCCTTCGAGGGATTCCTGATCATCCGATAGAGAAATTTTAATCTAGTTGCAATTTTTTATTGTTTTGTTTGTGATTAAATTGTGAGTTGTCTTATATTTTTTTTGTTGTGGCTGTGAATTTATCTTGAATTTATCTTGTTTAATTTTTAGTTTCAATTTTTGACATATAGGGTGACCTTAACCATGCAAGCAAGAAAAAAGAGGTACAAAAAGGTAAATGCAATAACTTAATAGCATACCTATCGATTCTTCCCCCACCTCTACTTGAAATGTTAGCTTTGACAATATGTATATAATTTTGCAAGGAATTCAAATTGTAGGAGTAGATGAAGGTATAACTACCAAACCCTAAGTTATGACTTTATTGAGTCTCGGAAGATCTTAGTGGATGATTTTAGAACAAAATATAAAAATTTCAATTTACTTTTCAAAATATTCAAGAGATTTCAAAGTGCTCGGAGCAATACCCTGAATTACATTGAAAATTTCTTAAAATATTTTGAGTTCATTTTGAAATTAACATATCATTTTATTAATCATTCAAGGTTAAGATAAGATTATTCCATTGCTCATGTAAACTTGATGTTTTATTTATTCCAAGGCTAGGACACTCAATTAATCAATTGATCTTTCATTTAAGAGTTATGTGGGCGGGTGCCCCTAAGGCAGATCTGAGTCATTAAAGGCTTTGGTACCCACTGTTAAAATTGGGCTTGTAGTGTAAAAAAGTGTTAATCAACAATCATGTTATCTTCTAAATCCAATCAAATGGGTTTAAATGTCAAGTCTAAGTCACTACCAAGCCCTGAACTATTAAAATAAGTGACATGATAACTAGCAAAATTTTGATTTAAATGACATGCATTCTTATTGAAAGATCACATTATCATCAATTATGAGCATAAAATTAATGAAATATTATCTTCCTAACTCAAACCCATCATTTCAGGATTGTTTAAATTTGATTGACTTTCAGGTCATGATAATTAAAGAAATTACAATTTTGTTCTTATTATAGAAAACTTGGCAAGTGAGTTCCTACCTTAAAATCCCATTGAATTTCAACCACCCAAAATTGTTCATGTTGACCTCACTTTTGTTTGAGGTTTAGTTTTTCCTCTTTAGTATCCTAAGGTCTAGCCATAGGACTCTCCTATTGACTATTCTTAGAAAACTAGAAAAGGCACCCTCACCACAAGAAATTCTAAACTCTTCTCTTCTCAACTTGAAGTTTCACATATTGGTCATAACCTCTAATATTTAGAAG